GAAGTCTCTTCTAAAGATGATGCACAAGAAAGCCCGCAAACAGTTTGCTGAAAACAAGCAGACTAAGGACATGGATTACTGGAACCATGTCCTGTGGTCTGATGAGACCAAGATAAACTTATTTGGTTCAGATGGTGTCAAGTGTGTGTGGCGGCAACCAGGTGAGGAGTACAAAGACAAGTGTGTCTTACAGTCAAGCATGGTGGTGGGAGTGTCATGGTCTGGGGCTGCATGAGTGCTGCCGGCACTGGAGAGCTACAGTTCATTGAGGGAACCATGAATGCCAACATGTACTGTGACATACTGAAGCAGAGCATGATCCCCTCCCTTTGGAGACTGGGCCACAGGGCAGTATTCCAGCATGTCATATTTTTAAATGTTCTGTGATTGAACTGGAGACTTTTGGGTTAGAATGTTTAATTTTAAATTTAGTGTTATCAGCGAGAATTAATTTGAATATTATGGTGTTATATAACCCTCCTTCTCATAATGTTTCATTTTACCATGATTTTGATTAACTGTTTAAATTGTTTAATTGTTGCACTGAAACAATTTTACTGGGAGACTTTAATATAAATTGGTTGGATAACAGTAAGAAAAAAAAACGTACAATTATTGCATCGAAATATAAATTGCATCAAATGATAACGAGCCCTACAAGAATCACTCGAACTAGTAAAACACTGATAGATTAAATTTTTTACAAATAAACGAGTTTTAAAATGTATAATATGTTAACAGCTCTGTCTGATCATATCTTGACCTTGATTGTCAGAAAATTAACAAAACAACGATTTCAGAGCCGATTTTTTGGAACCATAGTTAATAATTCACAAACTGGAATTCTCAAGCAGAAGATGTCTCGGTTTGAAAATGAGTTGAATAACATCAATTGGGAGAGTATATTTAAATTGATAACTTAAATGAGTGCTGTGATTTTTTGATGGACACACTTGCAAATATAATCAAGTTTACATGCTCCTTTAAAAGTAACAGGAGAAAAGTTTTTTTGCCTTTTTTTTGCCTATTCTCCAAAGTATTCAACAGAAATGGCTATAGGTCATTTTATAGAAAAGTAGTGGGAGCAGTATTTTTAGACTTTAAAAAGGCTTTTGATACTGTGAATCATGAAGTACTCATAAATAAATTGAAACAAATTAACTTCTCTCAACAAGCTCTAAACTGGTTCAAATCATACCTGGGTTGTAGACAGCAATGTGTTAAAATTAGCAGTGTGTGTAGGTGTACCACAAAGTTCAATATTGGGTCCGTTGCTTTTTTGTTTATATATAAATGATTTACCTGAAAGTTGCAAGGAGTTTGGTTGTCAAATGTATACAGATGACACAATTATTTATGTAACAGCAGAAACTTCTCGTCTGGCTGCAGAAATGTTAACCAGGAAATTGGTCAGTGTTTCCCAGTGACTGCAGGATAACTGTTTAACTTTAAATTACAACAAAACAGTTTCAATGAGTTTTTCATTAAAGAACAAAGCACTGGATGTATTTAAAATCTAAATAGACCAAAAGGAAATCAAGGAAGTGGGTGAATTTAAATATTTAGGTGTCATTGTAGACTCTAATCTTAAGTTTGATGCCCATATTAAGAAAATGTCTAAGACTATTAAGACAAATTTGAACTGTTTTCGTATGATAAGACCATGTATATCTCTAAAAGCAGCTAAAATGTTTATCTGGGGTCAGGCTTCCCAATCAGTTGTCAAGCCTGTAATGTCATTATACAAACAAACTTTAAAAGTAATGGATCAGAAACCAATGAAATGGCATCATTGTCAAATTCTTCAAAAGTATAATTTGTTAAGTTCTGATAATCTTTTAAAGTTTTCATTTATAAAAACAGCATTTAAGTGTATCTTTCTCTGCATCCATCATTCTCTTCCTTGGTCGAGCTTGGGATGCCATTTCGGATCCTCTGATTGGATATGCCGTGAGCAAGAGTGGCCGGACCAGAATTGGCAAACTTATTCCTTGGTGACTGTACTGGTTTATGTCAGACTGGGTGTGAAGGACTTTCTCAAAAATGTGCTTAAATGTGTATTACAAATATTGAGCATATAAATGGTAATAGATAGTGTACGCTTTAAATTTTTTTTTTTTATATTCCAATTGTTAATCATTCTGCTCATCCACTCTCTTTATGTAGGATTGTGTTCACAATACCACTTGGGGTCCTGTCATACGTTATGCTCTGGTATACCCCACAGGACACCATGTCCTCTGGCTTCAGTTTCGGCTGGTACTTCACATGGTGCTGTCTGTTTGACACCTTCATGAGTGTAAGACCACTATTATGTGCCTATAGTTTTCTGTTGTTTTACACATTCAAGGACATTTCCTGCATATGGGGGAAGACTACATTTAAATTAGTTTTGAATTGCAAACAAATATACAGTGACAAATATATAGTTCCCACTTCTTTCCTGTCAAGTACTCATGGTGAATAAATATAGTAAATATAGTACTCACCACTGCAGTTTTCCAACAGCCGTGTTTGCTTATATAATGTGTTATATGAGTCATAACTGTATCCAAAACATTTAATTCTCTCTCTGTCTTGTTTAGTGCTACCATGTGCCATATTCTTCTCTAAACATGTTTCTGGGGGGAAATGAGAAGGATCGAGACTCAGCCACTGCTTACAGTAAGGAAATATGGTGATAAATGGCAGTCATTGTGGTCCAAGTACCAATAGCTTGTGTAGTCAATTAGATTGTGGCAAGTTGATAGAACTGCACTGTATCTTTCTATCTTAAATCTCCAATTATACAAGAAACAAGGAATAGGCCAATTAGATGTTCCACATCAAAAAATAATATTTTCTATCAAGAATCATAAATCTGAACTTGATTGAACTTATTGTCAGGAGCACCTTAATATAGTGTATACAAATTTTATGTGAAGCAGACAAGCGTCCTAAAAGGAGTTACAAAAAGGGGGAGAAAACTTTGAACTTTGAAAATTCCTTCATTGCTTAGAGCCCTGACAATCATTACTGTTAAAGTCAGATCCTCTACAATTTCTATCAAGCACAGATCTAACAACAGATCAAAATCTCAAAATATTCTAAATTCAAATAATCAGTTGTGCATAACTAACACCATTCACGTGTGCCATTCATAACTGAATTGATGGAATATCTTTTATACCCCTGAATTTGAATTGGGATAGCAAACGGAAGAATTGCTATTCAAATGTTCATAAGGAAGTTGAATTAAAAGGAATCGGAATTCAAAGACATTCAAAAAAAAAAAATGCAAATAAAAAATAAAAACTATGAATGTTGTTTTTTCATAGTTTTTGTAAGTTTGGAAAAAAAACAACAGCTAGGTAGATGTCATCCTTCTTCTAGTCGTCCTTTTTTATTATTATTTGTAAGCAGGATACTTTGTAAATAGAAAGCAGAAACTTGGATTTATAGGATATTACCTTAACTGAAATCTATTTCCTGTATAAAAGAGAAAAAATGTCAAGAACTTTGTTGTCTCTCATGATACAGGAATGGGCATGGAAGTGTTCGCTACACTGGCGGGAGCTGCCATTCAGGGTCAGATAGTGGGGGTGCACCATGCCAAGAGGACACACGTCTGCAGTTTGCAGAATGACACGGAAGGGCCTTCTGCGAACACCACTGAATCACTGGATGACATATCTGACACTCTACAAAATACAGTGAGGCACAGAGAACATCCTATTACTATTGTGTCAAGCACATATGGATAGTGGAAATTGTTATTAGTTATTGCTTGTGAAATATTGCCACACATATTGACTGTGAACTGTCAAGGCAGCTGTTTTTTTCTAAATTTATAATATAGTCGTTTAGAGAAGATGCTTCCTTGTGTGTTGAGCATACGTAGGCCGTTTCTCTGGAACTGTTGTACCAGAGAATGCAGTGCCTCCAGATTTAAATATCATAAATATCATACTTTAAGTATGATATTAGAAACCATATACTGCATGTCTAAACTCAGCAACCAAGTACCTTCTGTTATAGTGCCAGAAACAGACACTTTAGACAAGGTATTTTAAGTTCAGCATTGTTCTTCCCAATTGTCTCATTTCGATGTCTTCAATGTCTCAAGTTTGTGATGTTGCCAAGTTTTAATTTTGCAAAGTGTATGAATATCCACTACTATTTAAAAGTATGGGGTCAGTAAGAATTTTTGAATGTTTTTGAAAGAAGTCACTTATCCTCACTAGGGTTGTATTTATTTGGTCAAAAATACAGTAGAAACAGTAATATTATGACATATTATTACAATGGTCCATTTTTATTATTATCAGTGTTGGAAACAGCTGCGCTGCCTCATATTTTTGTGGAAAAGTGATATATTTTTTCAGGGTTCTTTATATGAAGTAGAAAAGGTGCAGCACTCACGCTTGAAAAAAATCCAGCTTTATTTGTTAAAATAAATGTGACGCTGCAGCCAGTATCTGATAAAGGCCTGGATACTGGCTGAAACATCACATGTATTTTAACCAATAAAGTTGGATTTTTTCAAGAGCGAGTGCTGCACCTTTTCTAATTGAAATGAGATTTTTGGTTGCACCTCCTCTTTGAATGGTAGAACACCTCTTTTCAGTAAAAATTCTTCATTTGAAGTACAATATTCTTGTAATATTTAAAATTCTCACTTTTGATCAATTTAATGCATCCTTGCTAAATAAAAGAATTAACTTATTAAAAAACCTTTCTTATCCCAAACATTTGAACGGTAGTGTCGTTTGTCTATTAATTTCTACAGAGAAGTGCCTATTTGACTGGAGCATTAGTATTGGGAATGCTGTACTTCCTGTGCTGCCTCGTGCTTTTTCTTGGAGTGAAGGAGCAGTTGGGTAGGTCCAGATGAGTTAACTTTAAAATTTCAGATAAATCTCTGATGTTGTGTTCGTTCAGCCTTCACTAAGAGTACCACATACACAAAAATATATGTAACTATAGCTATAATTTTCTTGACCAAATGACTATGACTAATATAATGATTTGCATGCGTCTACTTCTCACTTCAGCCCCTCTGAGTAAACTGGACCGCATAAATGTCCCCTATCTAACTGGTATAAAGATGATGGTGGGCCATACTCCATATGTGCGGCTTGTATTTGGCTTCCTGTTTACTTCATTAGCCTTCCAGGTAAGCCATTTTTCTGATTAAAATAATGAATTATTTGATAGCCATACAGTTTTAGAGACTACAAATGGATTTTATTAAGTATGACAGAAGTCAAGATGATAAGAATATTTGTTTCAGATGGCTCAGGGAAATTTTGCCCTCTTCTGCACTCACACAACAAATTTGGGAGCATATTTCCAGCATCTTGTTCTCATACTATTGGTAAGGGATTTATAATTTCAAATTATTATTATTATTATTATTATTGTTATTATTATTATTATTATTATTATTATAATATGAAATGCAGCAGTGAGCTATTTTGAGCTGACATGTAAAGAATCCGATGAGCTTTGTAAAAATTGTCG